CACCTGTCAATTTCACGCTCCATCCGTCTCTCACTCGTGAACAAGACCCCGAGAAACTTGAACTCCTCCACTCCTCCTATGTCTCTCAGTTGGCCTGGGAACGCCTTGGGGTCCCCCCGGACGAGCTGGAGGAAGTGTGTGTGGATAGGGAAGTCTGGGCGTCTCTGCTTAGACTGCTGCCCCCGTGACCCGGCAACGGATGAAGCGGAAGAAAATGGATGGAAGGATGGAGGGCGCCACACAGACGGTTTATGCCCTAAAGTGAGATTTTATCTAATTTGCACTGAAAGGTAAAAAAAATGACCAGGACATGTTGAAAGCACTATAAAAAACATATTTATGCAGTTGATGAGTCAAAAAAGTGAATGTGGGGTTTAGTTGTCCTTTAAATGGGCTCATGTCTGGATTTACAAAGTGCTAAACCACGGTTTGCTGTATGACACAGTTACTGAGGTAGAGGTGTTTACTTGTAAATGTAAGTCCATAGGAGCCAGAGCGAGTTGGAGCTAAATGTCATCCATCTATCTACAGTCTACAGCAGAGAACATGTGCAGAGCGGCTCCTAAGGATTCATCCTTCGGCAGCAGCACAGGGCCCAATGCAACAAGTGCTCATGGCAACACACTCTCTCAGTGCATAAATAAACCACACAAATGGATAACTCTACAGACATTTACAGCAGCTCTGGGTATTCAGTACGGACGACTGATGTTTACAGGTCATATCCAAACGAACACACACACACACAGTAAGGCTAAAAAAGGCGATTGACCATTGACTTTAATATTCTCCTCAGCAAACACATTATTATGGGATGTTTAGGCGCTGTGGGTGCAGCCCAGAAATGGATGAAGGGGAAAAAAATGGATGGATGGATAGTCTAGGAGCTGTCTGAATATTATGAGCACAGGCTACTTGCTTTCATTCAGTCTATTTGTAATACTGTTAACTGTAATATTATGACTTAGACTTTCTTAGACATTGTGATAATGTTTTGACAATTGCACAATTGTCAAAACTGGTCCAGTTTTGTTACCATTCAAGCAGCTTATACTATATTACTGACTAATACAAGTAATATTACTGACTTATACAAGTAGATTTAGCCTGGGAAAAGTCCATTCATCTTGTGTAGGAGACATATGGTTATTACCATTGTAAGGACAGAATAGGACAAAAATCCATTTTCATGCAACTTCTTAAATGTACTACTAAATTCAAGTGCACCGAGTGCACACAATAGACATTTAACAGTGCAGTAAAGTGACAATAGAATAATGTGGCGCTTGTGAAGGGCAGGGGTCAAGGATGTCAAGCGACAAATTCACAATCACACAATGGAGCCAAACAATTGTTGTTGTGCAAGTGAATCATGTGGGAAGATAGCTTTGCCTAATCATCTGGCCTAAGGATTCACCCGGGTGAGCTGGACGAACAGTGTGTGGATAGGGAAGTCTGGGCCTCTATACTTCTGCAGACAATGAATAAAGCGGAAGAAAATTGAGAAAAGCTTCTCTCTTTCTAATAGTGCTTCATCGTCGTCTTGCCGCCCCTCTCTCTTCTGTGATTGGTCCAAATTCATGAAAACATTTTGGCCCCGGTTTCCAGCCTGTTGTGCAGTTTGAAATTATTCGAGGCTAAGTTGTTGGGTAAAATGCAAAAATTAGGTGAAAGAAAACTGCTTTTCTCAGTCCCAGCTGGCTTTAAATGTCCTGGGTGTCATGATGATGTGTTGTTTTATTTTGATTGTGTTTGGAAATTCAGATATGACCATAACAACTGAGCAATTGTCCTTGATCGGCTCCTGTGATTGCTGTTACCCTAGAAATCTGTTTGATTGCAACGCACTCCAGGCAGTAAGTAAGGCCGCTTGCTGCTCTTTGGCTGTGGAAACAAACGCCACACTTCTTATCCTTCCTTTTGCAATGGCCTTCACCGTATCCTGTTCAAATAATACTGAAATGATGGGGAAAATAGTGGTACGTACGAGAGCTGAACGACTGTTGACAGGTAAAGATTTCAACCTGTACAATTGATTCAGGGCTGTTTCTTCTTCTGTCTCCTCACTATCACAGAAGCAGAGCCTTTGAACGATACATTAACAGATAATAGTTGTATTTGAAGTTAGATTTATTGTCACAGATGTTCCCCATGTAAAAAGCATGTCATGGATGTACTATATTATCTGGATCAGGGGGCCAACCACTAGCCCGACTCTCGCCAGACCCTTATAGCTCGCTGCGATTCACACAAGGGTCTGGGTCCTCTTCATAGCGGATGAATTTCAGAAGGTGAGGCCTTGTAAAAATATGTATGTAATTGGATAAACCACTTGTTTATTATCTTGAATGACGTGTCATTCAAGATAAACCCACGAGAATGCCTCAAAAATAACACCCAAGATGATTTTTTTGGCTAAAATGTTTATGCAATTGTACTACTGCTTTTAGTCTTTCTGTTTATTCATTACTTTCAAGTCGCTTGGAACAAAAGTATGCGGGAAACCACCCAACCTGGCAACCCTGTTACGTAGGGTTGTGAAATGAGCACTTAAACCAGTGCTTAAACCAAACTTTACATGAACATTTTAATCTTAAAACACACATTTAACAACATAGAACCATCAACATCTCCTCTCAAATTGCATTAAAAGTTACATCCGTGTCTTACTTTTTTTTTAATTCACGTACCTTATGTCTGCCATCTTGGTTTTATTTGGCTGAGAGACGCACGAGAAGATAGTGCAAACCCAACGTAACACCGGCGATCCTGACTGGCTGATTATTTTTGGATCTCCTGAAGGAATTTGCAATGCGCTCAATCCCAGACCCTTGTGTTCAGCGAAATGCCTCTGGTGGAGCAGGACGGAACTACAAGGATCAGGCTAGCCACCCACGGCACTGCAGCCTTCATTCACATGGGCTGCGTAGGACATTTCCCATACAGCTTTCATTTTGTGGGGATTTCAGAAGTCTGCTCACTCCCGGCTCTGGCTCCGCTCTGATTGGTCAGAACGCTCACGTGTTACTCTGGTTCGGACCTGGCCAAAAATTCAATTTTCGGGACGTCCAGTTCTAATAACACAAAACCATCAAAGTGAAGCAAGACTGTCTGCAGTGACAGTTCCCAATCTGTTGTGCCTGATCAAGACAACTTAAAAAGTCATAGGCACATCTTAGAAAACGCTTCGGTAAAGCTTTCTTCTTTGCAATTCACCTGCACAAACACATGGCCCATAAAGAGCGGATGACCAATGTCCATAAATGGTATTAGATGTCCATAAATGGTATTAGATGTCCATAAATGTTATTGAATGCCGAATGTCCTGGATCGTCACCACTGTCAATAGACCCTCTTGCATCGGGAAGAAAAACTCAGTGGGAGAAATGTTTTGCCTTTACCGTTACACCTGATGTTGGTGAATTATTACCATGTATGCTCATTATTTTGGTTAGAAAATATGTTTTTATCTTTGCCCACAACATTTCAAAGCACAGAAAAAAAACATATTGACTACCAGGATTCCCACTGAATCCCACCGACAGTCCACTCCCTCTGGCCATAGCACAGGCAGTAATGAGTGAGCGGGGGGCATATGTCACACTCAGGATCCATAAACACCATTAAAACCAGCGGAAATCCATAAGACAAAGATGAGGCGCTCTGTGCCACACGGTCAAAAGTTCCCCTCACTGCTGAAAAACTGATTAAGCTGCAAACGGAAAACAAATGTCAGACAACGTCAACGTGTGTACGTGTGTGTGTGTGTGCGCATGTGCATTTGTGTGTCTCTGTGTGTGCATGCACGTGTGTGGGTGGGAATGTTTAATTATAACTGCTTTGAGCCACACATGAGTGGCCCATAATTAGTTAATAATTAGAGAGACATTATCAAATCCAGTCCTACCACACACAGAGGCCAGAGGAGAGGGATGTGGTGACCATGGGATTGCTGTGATCTGCTGTTTCCAACATCACTGAGATAAATTTCGGCTGAGTTTGATATTACCATTTGTAGTGTCTTGGGGATTTGGGAGATGACATATTGGAGATTGGGAAATAATTTGAGAAATGCTCTTTGGAGAAATTAAATTAATTGAAGAAACTATGCTACGAGCCGTGATAAAGAGGAGCGAGGCAGGGATCTCAATGGAGGAAGTGTAGGGTAAAGTAAATATGTGTGTAAATCACACTCAAAGTATTACAAGAGTAACATTATTTATTAGAATAGGGAAGTATGTCACATACTGGGGCTTGTGCCCCCTCACATTAGCAGGGGCACAACTTTGTTGGTTTCAGATTACCCCTCATATAACCTGATCCAGTTTATCTTTCATGCTAAAGGTCAGCACTCGTATAGTCCCGTTGACTGTATATACATGGAAATTGCTAACCCACTAGCAAGGTAACTCACAGAGACCTATAGCTCATGAGCTAATTAGCTAATTGGCATTAGCTCATGAGTTAATTGGAGCTCACGGATGAAGTTTTGCTCCATCTTTATTGAAGTAAACTCCTCTCGCTTCAAAACCGTTTGTGTCACACTCACCGTGGGCTTGAAAATCTTGAAAAAGCTCTCCAAGTAAAAATTGACCAATCAGATGGCATGTTTTGGCGGGGAAACTCCAGTTTGCCTTAGCAACTGCCACTGTTAAGTCACACAGGTAGCGCAAACCAAATGAGGATATTGCCTCCAGCTAGCTTCTGTTCAAATCGCCTTCTTCCACATTAAGCTTAACTCTTTTGGTTTTCCACTCCTAATAAGCGGTCTATGGTTAGTTCACACATACATTAATACAGTACATTGAGACGGGGAGAAAATCACACAGGAAAGCTTGATATGCAAAGAGGGTCTTTTTACTAAAGATTTCTGACCAACTTAAAACTCTATAAATAAATACAACCTGTACACCTGTTTTACTGTAAATACTCCTGACTGATCATAACACAGTATTTATAGTCTTTTGTACATAAGGTCTATGGAAGCAGCGGTTACTTACATCCATATCCTGACAGAGCGCAGAGCTGGGGCCGTACTGCAGGCGGCACTGGTGGGGGGCGCTATAGAGCACACCCGGTAGCAGAGAGTTCCCCTCCACCTGCGGGTGTCCAGGGGGATCGTCCAGGCACCATCCCCAGCCACGACTGCAATACACACACACAAACACCAGTGGTAAATTTGTAGACACAATATTATCGTCATATCTTTTGTCACACATATATTTTTGGGGTCGGAAACTAAAATAGGAATCACTCATTGGGACGAAGACAAAAAATAGACCAAGACGAAATCCAATCTTAAAAAGGGTTGCCAGAGTACATGCGAGGAGGACCAATGGTTCCTTACTAAGTAAATTACAAAATGGTTGTGGAATTAACCCACCTGTGATAAACAAAACAACTGTTCAGTAATGGCTTCTCTTTTACAACCATGGATCTATAATAATAACTGGATAGGGTATAAATAGCTTGGAGCTGAAGGACCCATGTGCTCGGGAGATTCTCGCGGGACTGCCGACTAAACTCGACTAAATTCATGTGGGCTACCCAGAAATTTTCCCCATAGAACTCAATGTAAACTAAAACAGCTCGATCTCAGCTGACAGAGAACCTACAGCTTTCATAAAGGTCAGATTTTGTGCGGATTTTAGTGCCCCTTGTCATCCTGAACTTTCTTTCTTCTTAAATCCTTCGGTTTTCTTTAAATCCACACTTTACTGCCACTAACTCTGCTCATCTGGCTCTGGCTCTAACTCCCGCTCTGATGAGCAGTTCTGATTGGTCAAAGCGCGGCCGAGCCCCTCTGTGCACGTGCATTAGAGCCACACACGCGTATTTGGCGCAACGCATCATGGGAGATCATCCACAAACCACAAGCTATTCATTTGAATACGCGCCATCTTGGATCGCCGGGGCTTGGGTACAACAGTAAATAGACGACGTGCACTTTAGCATATGCTACTTTCGGTAGGAAAAATCTGGTTAAGATGCTTTGTTTCCAATTACATTGGCACTGTGTGGGAGTCTTGGTTCCAGGTCTGGTTTGGTCTGTCAATTGGCTCAAGCACAGGGCTATAGGAGTGGTTTGACAGGGGAAGTTGACTGCTTAAACCAAACTTTAAACAATAGGTTGACTCTTAAAACCCACATATCACAACATGGAACCATCAACATCTCGCCTCAAATTGGATTAAAAGTGACATCCGTGTCTTATTTAGTTCGTATTTAAACTAATTCACAGATTTTATTTCTGCCATCTTGGTTTGCCTCGGCTGCCGTGAAAAGCACATGCGCAGGTTTGCATTGCATCATAAACAGCTGAGGCAGTGTATCTGGACAAGGCAGTGCAAACCGACGTTACACCGGGACCTGCCCCCACTGGTTCTGACACACGCAGCTCTCAGTAAAGAGGTGGATTGTTTGGCACCAGCAGAAGACATGAATCTGATGTGACTTCACACTGTTGACTATTGATCAGCAGCAATTAAACTGTTCCCCATGAGTGACCCTTGACTGACCCAGGACAACAGCACAAAGATCACAACAGCCCCAGGACCGGGCCCCAGGATCGGGCGGGACTACAAAGAGGGCTTCAATGAGGAGCCCAAACCATAGTGAACATTCATTTGCATTCCCAGAATACGACCGATCATTGATACAGCTTCGTGAATATGAACCACACGTCACTTTGTCCCACTTTGCTAACATGGACAGATGTAAACTAAATATATCTTGCACTAGATTATACAGTATTTTATATTGGCTTCATAATTACGCTAAAGTAAGTGTTATTTTTATTTTTTTGTATAGTGTTGTTGTTCACTTATCTTGTGCTCTTCATTTCTACTGTTCTGCCACTGGTCATGCAACACTGAAATTTCCCCACTGTGGGACAAATATAGGTAAGAGGCCCCGGGGAAGACCCAGGACACGCTGGAGCGACTATGTCTCTCAGCTGGCCTGGGAACGTCTTGGGGTCCCCCTGGGTGAGCTGGAGGAAGTGTGTGTGGATAGGGAAGTCTGGGTGCTTAGACTGCTGCCCCCGCGACCCGGCAACGGATGAAGCGGAAGAAAATTGATGGATGGATGGAACAAATAAAGGATGTATTAATGTTAATCTTAATTTGAAATGCCCTGGATAACAGGATAGGTGTATGATAGCGTCTTTGTCGGCGTCTTTCTGTGAGACACTTGGGCAAGCAACTATCACTCATTGACTGCCATTGACGTTTTTGTCTGAGACCCTCTATTCGACTGGGGATTACAGGACAACAGAAATATCTAAAAACAAACTTATTTTTGCGGATCAAAGTAGACGATCCAGTCTTTCAGAATCTGGTTTCATATTTCACAAAGTCTTAGGAAATAATATTCTGTGAGTCTTGAGAGTCAATGAAATCATCAAAAATGGCTGGCAGTCAATGAGTATAGCACAGTTTACACACAAGGCAACTCAAAGTGCTTAACAAAACAAGATCATTCAAGGAACAATCATACAAGGCATTTACATAATACATAACCACAGAACATTAAAAGGAGTGAAGATAAAATCCCTCAGTTGTTTGCGCAGCTAAACAGAACTGTTGTTAACCTGGATCTGAACATTGTCCGAGGAGAGGCCTGTCTCACATTAGGAATAGTTTAGCACCTACAAACCGCACTGGTGAGGTCAGTGCACAAAGACGGCCTTTCCAGTGGGCTGAGGCTGAGACAGCCTGGGGAAGGGGGCTGCAAACAGACAGGAGACTTTATAATGCTGCTTTGGATGAAAAATGTACGCTGACCGCTAAAGTGCACGGCATATTTGACTTCAGTTCAAACGACCGCAGAGGAAATATTTATGGTTTAATGCAGTTTGTCATCACTGGTTACAAGATCATCAAGCTGTTATGACTTTCCAACACAGAGTTATGGTCATACCTTCAAGTGAAAACCACTTGAAGGCCCTCTGAAGCTAATCAGGGCACGTCCTGGTTAGTACTGTGATGGAAGACCTTTAGGAATAGGGGCCCACAGTGGGGCGGCTGCAAATGAAAAGTGCTAAACTGTTGTTGTGTCCTTGGCAAGACGCTTCATTCATATTGCCTAGAATAACTCTGGTGTGTGTGAATGGTTGGTGGTGGTGGGAAGGGCAGATGGCACAGACTGTTGGCCTTGCTTCTGTCAGTGTGCCCGGTGGCAGCTGTGGCTACTGTAGTAGTTTATCACCACTGTGTATTGAGAGTGTATATGATATGTAGTGTATGCAGTATGAAGCAGAGGTGGGACAAAGTCATTGTTTAGCAAGTCACAAGTCAGTCTCAATTCATTGCCCTCAAGTCCCGAGTCAAGTCACGAGTCAAGACAGGCAAGTCCCGAGTCGAGTCCAAGTCAAAGGCCAACAAATCTCAAGTCAGTCCCAAGTCCTACGGTTTGACTTTCGAGTCCTCTCGAGTCTTTTTGACCGCGATTTGTTTCTTGTTGGTCTCCACGTACTTTTGTAGGCAAACAAAATAATGTTAGGAATCATTTTGCTGGTGCATTCTCGTTGGTCTCTGACCCATGGACTAACAGTTTGTTCCATGTCGTTGGCTGCTGGTAAATCAAAACTATCTACGTGATCTAATTGGATGTTGTGCCAGATGCAGGCTCAGTTACACATGCACAGACCACACATAAAATCAGAGCAGTCCGTGTCAACATACTTTTTATCTTTGGGGTTTTTAATGGGAAGTAGCAAGTGCAGCAGTGCAGCATATATGAATATGAGTATTGGGCTAGGACCTGTATCTATATAATCAGTTTAATGTCCGTAGTGGTTATTGTTCCAAAGGACTGAAGGGACCAATGGAGGGGAAGGACCCCGGCCTGTATGAACTGGACCAGCATTAGTAATATCTCATAATTACCAATATATCATTACATAATAAAATGTCTCATATAAATTAATTCAATCAGTCAAAGCACTGATTCTCATATCAATGCACCATAAACAATAGTGCAAATATTAATCTAGCTTAGTGCACATAATCAAAACAACTATCTAATGTATGCAAACTTTAGCAGGAGGAGCACAGCAAAAACATACTCATAATAATAGGCCTCGGCGCCCACACAGAAAAATATAAGAAAGAGCTAACAGAGCAGCGCAGGCTAGCGCTAGTTTGACTCACCAGTTCCTCTTTAAAACACGGCACACAGTGTGACAACTGCGTCGATTCAATTGTATGACGCGCCTGTAGTGAAAGCATATCAATTACGGTTTGTAGAACAAAGTATGACGTTAGGTCGCGATAAATACCTGCAGCTCGCTCATTTCCAGCTCCCCTAGACAACACACCCACCGGTGAATGCAGTCCGCTTGTTTAGGGAAGTGTTGCTGCGCGAACCGCGGGGAACTCACGTTCGAACTCTCTCGCGAGCGCTACAACTACCGCGAGGCTTTGTTTCTTCAGAGACGGCATAGATAGAAAGAGAGATGCGGAGAAAGGTAAAAATGGCCCGGGTTACGCAAGTCTTTGCAAGTCAATTGGCGCAAGTCCAAGTGAAAGTCAGAGTCATTGATGTTAAAGTCCAAGTCGAGTTGCAAGTCTTTTTATATTTGGTCAAGTCGAGTCTAAAGTCATCAAAATCATGACTCGAGTCTGACTCGAGTCCAAGTCACATGACTCGAGTCCACACCTCTGGTATGAAGTGTCTTTGAGTGTCCAAAAAAGTACTATAAAAAATGATGCATTATTAATGTTTTATAGGGACTGAAATCCAATTCATGTTGTAGAACTGGATTTCAGTCAGAGGAGCGGGGTCCATTCAATGGGAAAGAAAATCAATCCAAAAGTTTCCCCAGATCATTATTTGGTAGTGATTAGATTTACAAAGAAGTACTAGTATTCTTATGAAAGTGATTATGACGAAGCCAAATGTAGAAAGGACAAGTTTATGAGAAACTCAATAGACCGAGCACTATTTATACACTTCAAGTTGCCTTCACGACAAAGTGAGACTATAGGCTCTTTGGTACGTGTTGATGTCACATGGATACAGCCTATTACAAATACTTTGAGACAGTCTCCCACTGACATTGTTTAAGACGACCCGAAGAATGCCTGCGTCTGATTGGCTGAAGTGTATCATCGACACATGGGCGTGTTCGTTTTGTTCACCTGCTCTGTTATACGAGTGTATGTTTTAAACTTGTGACAAAGAGACCATAACAATTGAATAGAGAGACCAGAGAGAAACCAGAAAGAGGGACCAGAGAGAGATTGCAGAGAGAAACCAAATAGAGACCAAAGAGACCCAGAGAGGAACCGGAGCGAGACTGCGAGAGAGAGAGAGAGAGAGACCAAAGAGAAGGACCAGAGAGATATGAGAGAGAGACTATAGTATGAAGAAAATTACCAAACGTGGAGGTCTGGGATTGAATCACAGCAGAAGAGACACAGCTAGAGTTTCATATTATTTTCATTATTTTATATCTATAGAAAATATGATAGCTCCTTCAGCGTCTGCCACGTTGCCAGTAGACAAGTTTGCTTTGACCTTCAGATCTGACTTAGGCAAAGAATCATTGTACTGTCAAATATACGACTCAAGTACTGTCTTTTTACGACTCTCCAATATTTAAGCCTAACCCAGCAGTAGCTGCCTCATGTGAGATCTGACCCAGCCTTTGCCTTCTGTCACACGCACACACTCACACAGTAACAATAGCCTAGAGTATCCGGACACCCACTCAATGGATTCCAGATGCCTGCGGTGGAGAAACTGGGGCACATCCAGTGTTCAGATGTTTCACACATGTAGACCGACTGTGTGTTACAGATAATGATCTCGGCACGGGCTCCTCATTTACATAATTGGACTCGAGTTCAGCCAGATTCTGATTTTTGCGGTCATTAGAAATGAGAATGATGCGCCTCTCGCCCTGTGTCTAATAAGAAGCTGTGAATGTGATTCGGAGTCTGAAAATGAAGTTTGCATATTTCCCATCGCATCCCCCGCTGTTGCTCGCCTGCACCTCACAGAGACACAGAAACAGATACAGAGACGCAGCCAAAAGAGAAGAGCAGAAGTTCAGGAGAGCAGCCATTTATAAACCCACTGTGATAATACCTGAGCAGATAATTTCACACCGAGCAAAAACACAGGGTTTTTACTAAACACCAGGGGCCGTATTCCTAAAGATTCTGAGAGTCCTCTCAGAGAGCTCTTATCTTAACCTAAAAACTCCTAGCTAGGAGTCTTAGCTTAAAAGTTATTCCAGAACACTCTTAGAGAACTCTGAGCAAGGAATTGACAACAACTTTTATCTTAGTGAGGAGGCGTGGCCGACCCCATTGCTAGGTCTGAGTCATCATTTCAGACGCTGTGATTGGTTGATCCTAAAAGTTAGAACAAACATATTTTTGATGATAATAGGCAAAATAAGGGCCCTAAAATGGACAAACTCAATCATGGAATCTAATCTTAGGAACACTGTGTTATTGTAAATAATAACCAAAAGCTATAAAGTCAGATATATCAATGGTACATAAATACTGTGAATAGTAAAGTTAGACTTATACACCATCATCAGAGCTTGCTCAGCACCAATTTATCACACATACTACGTATATATCATGAGCACTTATAATTTTATATATATATATATATATATATACATATAATTTAAATATTACTCTATATATAATATACATGATAAAGAAAATTATTATTATAAATATTATATGGATAAATGATGATAATGATAACGTTAGGATTAGTAAAGGCTGTGATATGTATAGACTTATAAGGAATTAAGGAAACAATATTAATATAAACATATTATACATACACTGTACAAATCAAGTACAAGGGAGCTTAAAAGTCTTATCCTCTCCCACTCCTTTTTGAGCTGGATTGTTGTTAATAAAACAAAACTGTATATTTGTACTTCTATTCTGTTGTTGTTTTGTTTGTTTTGTCCTTTTTTTTCTTGTTTGCCATGGCTCAAAATAAAGTATTCATTCATTCGTACTGAATGTGTGACAATTTAGGACCACTTTTTCCTCTCTTTCAACTTTTACCATTTCTACTTACTTTTGTGTAACAAAGGTAAAATGGATGAGGTGTTATTGCTGACCAGCCAATAAGAAGCTAGTCACATGATTGACTTTTAAATATACCACAAACATGATTCCTGCTTGAATCTGTAGCGTTTCACTGATTCACTGTCATCCAGTGTATAGAATATTTCTCCTGTCTCCACCGTCCACCATTTTGTCTCTTATGGAACTTTTAAGTCGCTAAAAGTCCTCCTCTCAACTCTTAAGGGATCTCCCCTTATCCCTTTAAGCGCCAGAGGTTTTTTTCCAAAATGCTCGATTTTGACATCTTAATTTCAAAAGGCTGTAACTTACAAGTGATAAGAGATAAAGGCTTTCTGTAAATTAGAAAAATATTAAGGATAGTCCAAAGTTTATGTAGAGAATAAATCCACCCATCTAATTTGCATATTATGACGTCATTTGGCGTTAGAAATTGTGGATTTTAGAATTTTCATACAATATTTGTATTTTTCTAACTGACAGATATATATTGATCACTAATACATGAACACACACAGAGCACATACTGTAACATTGTAAATGTTCATGGAAATAGTAAAAAATACAAAACATGGTGCTGCTGTGAGCAGTCTGCCCAGACGCGCGCCTCCAGGTGAAGCGCGTCACCGCGACCCTGCTGCTGCGGCTGCTACTGTCTCCCCTGCTCTCTCTATCGTTTCCCCTGATCTCTCTCTCGTCTAACACACACAAGACAAGGCTTCTCCAACACGTTACTGTCCCGGTGATTACGGGAGGCATGAAAATACATATGTGGGAAGCACTTTTAGCGGAGAGTTTAGCGGAGACTTCAGTGGAGGCGGGAGGTTGCGGTGCGGCGCCCCGACGCGAGTTCCAGGCTTGTTCTCCGCAAATCTAACCTGTCTCCAAACCTCCCAATGACTGGTCTTACTCTGAGAAACACTGTTCCCACTGCAGACCCTGTGCAAAGTGTCTAAAGTTAGTGTTTGGTGTGCTATAACACTCGCAGGCTGCCTCGCAGCTGCACTCGCTTTGCAGTGTTTTCCGCTCTGATTCAACGCGGTCTTGCTCGAATATTTTGTATGGGAGCATGTCGTTTTTTGGGGCCAGGGAGGTAGTCTGACATGTCTGCCAACTAGTGGCAGGGAGTATGAATGAATTTTGACACTCAGTTGGTCACACTCGGCCGTTTTAAACAGTACTGCAGCTTGTCGACTTAAGTCGACCGTGGCGCCTAGAGGGTTAAGAGCACTCTTAAGAGCTAGGATTTTTTAGGAATAGCTTTTATCTTAACTAGGAGCTACTCCTCACTTTTAGGGGAAATTCTAAGAGTTGGTCAAGATTCTAAGAAAATTCTTAGAATTTGGCCACTAGGAGCAACTTTTAGCAGTAAGAATCTTTAGGAATACGGCCCCAGGGTTCATTTCTTTACACACCGAGCGACAGAGGAGAGTCAGAACGACCTAGTCTTTTTGGCTGTTGTAGCAGCAGGAAACAGACGATGAACTTATCAAAACTCTGAATATTGAAACAAATACAAATCTTCATTCAGAATGTTAAAAACTGTGTGAAAAGTGATGTCACATGGTGAGAAGGAGGAAAGACGCATGTCTCCTACAAGACCAGTCATCATTATCCAGTCTGACATTCACCTGCAGTCTGTCCACTGGGTTTACGTAAGTAAGTAAGTAATGTTTATTTATATAGTGCATTTTACAGACCAAGGTCACCCAAAGCGCTTTACAATAGTTGAGAGTTCAGATATTGTTCCAATCATTCCACACACGGTGATGACAGAAGCGAGTCGCCGAACACACTGGACCATCAGCCCCCAATCAACACCATACATTCACTCTCTCATTCACATTCATACCTATGTGTGTGTGCATGTGAGTGTGCGTGTGCGTGCGTGCGTGCGTTAGTATTACTTACTCGAGGAAGCGTGTGATGTACTCCCGGCTGCAGGACGACCACTTGGGCAGAGAGGTTCCATAGAGCAGCTGAGGAGACATGACAAAAGGCCTTTTCCCCACGGGCTCACACTCATTCCCACTGCCATCGTGCTGCATCCCCAAGCTGCAACCAGAGAACACACACTCACTGGGACAGTCACAACACGGCACGCAGGTCGACATGCAGGTCGTGCCATGTGATCAAAGATTGTCATTTTCATTTCATTAATTTCATTTATTGATTCATTTCTAGCAGATCACATAAAAAATAAGAAATGTAGAACAGCTGTACATAAGTACAGGAATTAGAAAAGATTTGGCTCAAAAAGGAGTGGGAAGAAGAAAACGTATTGAATCCCACTCCTATTGTCCATCGCTACGTCACAATATTTAACTTAACTTCCACTTCAAAGTCTATAAGAAGAAAAGAGAAAAAACAAACAAAAAACAATAAGGAACATAATTCTCAATGCAACAAAATTAATCAAATTTACATAACTTAAACACTGTTTCATTTGTAAACTACTTTCACTTTAGAACAGAAAACTAAGTGCAATATAATTTTCGTTTACAGTCAAATATAGCTTATAGGACAACATGCAAATGATACAACAGTTTAGACATTTTCAGCAATTTTACATACCAGTGATGGTAAGGACAGAGGTACCAGCAACAGTAACACAAGAGCAGCAGCGTTGGAGCAGAAACAACGATGGCAAGAAACGTCAAGCACAAGAACTGATGCGGACAACTGCAATACATCAAACTATCTAAGTTCCACTAACTCTGTATTCTGACCACACTGCATTTTTGTATAAGCGTTTAAATTTGTGAATTCAGAGCAAAGGTCTGAATTCTACTCAGTAATCAACGATCCTTGGGGACCACTGCCTTCTTCCTCGGCCTTGTGCGGCGGTGGTGTGGTTCGTACGTGGGGGACACCTAACCTCCCGTGCAATTAATATCACACAATCAAACTCCTTGGCCTTGAGGTGGAGTTGAACCCAGGACCTTCTTGCTGTGAAGGGCTGCGGCTGTAAAGTGCCAAACTGCTGTTGTGTCTTTAGGCAAGGCACTTCACCCACATAGAATGAGTCTGGTGTGAATGGTTGGTGGTGGTCAGAGACACCAATGGTACATACTGGTTGTCAGTCTGTCCCAGGGCAGCTGTGGCTACTGTAGCAGTTTATTAACACTGTGTATGGAGTGACTGAATAATGACATGTGATGAGTCTTTGAGAGCACAAAACAATGCAAAATGGGCTTGTGTTGAAAATGTCTTCTTCTGCATTCACAAATGTTCCCTCAGAATAAATGGTCTATGTTTTCCTGTGACTAAATCTAAATAAAGTTTCTGGGTTTAACTCTGTCTAACGACCTGAAATGGGTTAAAAACACTGACCGAGTCGTTAAGAAAGCTCGTCAGCGTCTCTACTTTCTGCGTAAACTTAGAGAATTTACCACTAACTCTAAGATTCTGCTTAACTTTTATCGCTGCACCATTGAGAGTTTACTTGTTGGTTCTGTGTCTGTGTGGTTTGGAAACATCACAGATAAAGAAAAGAGAGCTTTAAACAAGGTGCTCCGCTCTGCAAAGAGGACCGTGGGCTGTGAGCTTCCTGTTCTGGAGGTTCTTTATAAATCCAGACTTTTAAACAAAGCTCTTAGGATTGTCAATGACTCTTCTGTCCACCCTGGGAAAGCCATGTTCCAGCTTCTTCCCTCTGGCAGAAGATATCGCTCTCTGAGATGCAGGACATCTCGTTACGCTAACAGTTTTTATCCACAAGCTGTTATCAGTGTGAACAGAGCACTTTAAGGATTTGCACTTGTTTTGAACTGTTTTAGTCGATCGATTTCACAGTGACATTTGTTTACTGTTTTATTTGTTTTATTTTTGTCTTTTTAATGTTGTTTTATGTCTGTATTTATCTGTGCACACTGGAGACTTTTGCTAATGTATTCCAATGTGTTTTTTTTAACTGCAAATGGCAAATAAACTGAATCTGAATCTGAATCTGAATAAAGTGAGTGAAACTGGCCAAAGGGTTGTTTAAGCTCAGGGAAGCTGTGCGGTTTAAGGAGCCTTTTTGAAATGATAGTGACATCAAACATTGGAACGTGAGTGCAAACACATAAACTGTTGTGCCCAAACGGTGGAGCTCCCGATGGAATTCGGCTGCACCCCCTCCCTGCACTGGAGCCTCTTCAGTCCTGCATTGCACAGCCTCAGTCCTCATTCTTCAGCCTGAGTCCTGGATCTACTGCCTGTCCGTCTGTGGGAGTGGATCCCTCTCTCAATGTGGGCTTCCCTGAGGTTTCTCACTTTTTTCCACTGGGACATTTATGCAGATTTATCAACATGTATGGACTGTGGTCATCCCGCTCTCTAAGTGTTATTATTGCATTTCTTGTGTTTGTTTGATTCTTTGACCTGCTGTTGGTTAATCCACAACTTTGTAAAGTCCTCCAATTGGCGCAGCAACAACTGCTGTGGTGACATATTACTATTGCAACAACACATCATAAGTAGGGTAAATCTAATCTGTCTCACGACGGTCTAATCCCACCTCACATTCCCTAATAGTGGGTGAACAATCGAACGCTTGGTGAATACTGCTTCACAATGATAGGATAGTGAAAAATAAATTGAATTGAAGAGTGAGTATTTAGAGTGCGTACTTGTGTCCGAGCTCGTGTGCCACAGTGAAGGCCAGGGGCAGCCCTGTGTCCTCACTGATGCTGCAGCTGCGGTGGGACTGGCACATCCCGGCCACGTGGGACAAGCCCAGGGTCTCACACGGAGAGTTCCCCGACGCACAGATGTCCTTCCTGCAACACAATACACACTTTCACACTTTGAAGATATTTTTTATTATGCTGTGTAGATCACGTGACAGGAACAGATTATATTTAAACCACACCTGGTTCCCTGAAACTATCACAGGCCCTGACGGTTCTGCATGGCCCAAACAACACCCTGTGTCAGGGTTTTTTCACTGCTGATCCTGATGAGCACCCGACAAAAACTGACCCACTGAAGCACTCATCTTTCCTGAGTGGAGTTTGCATGTTATCCCCGTGTCTACGTAGGTTTCCTCCGGGTGCTCCGGTTTACCCTACCACTAAAAAACATGTACAATAGGTCTGGCATGCACCTCCTGTACTGGCCCCAGTCCCATCTGTGTGTGGAGTGGAAGACAAAAGCCCACAATTGTAAACCACTTTGTGACTCTGGTCGGTGAAAGGCAGTATAAAATAAAGATGACTTACTTACTTACTAATCAGTGCGCTTAAATTTCAATATTGACCTGATTGATAAGCACAAGGACTGGCCTCCTGCTGGGACTCTGAGGAGCTCAGGGACTGGTAAAGCAACAGTTTAGGTCTACATTTTACATGTTTAGTATGTTTTTTTTGCACAAACAAACAGCAGTCACAGCTTCATTAAGGCCAGTTCACATGTGTGTGAATCTGACAAGCACTTTGATTCCCACACAATAGACACAACACTGACATGGGTCACACACCCGCTCAGTGGGATGTTTGTTCTACATTCAGGGCTTTTCTTTGCTCTTTCCCTCCGCACTCCACCACAGTGGGTCTCAGACCAAAGCTCCAGATGTGGGGAAGCCGTTAAAAGACAAGTTCACATCAGTGGTGCTTTCAGAAGTGTGTCCCAACATACCAGGTATGGTGCTTATGTAGCTATGCTGACTTCGGTCAAATGTGAATCTATATGGACGTATGATACCTAACTTTAAAGCTCAAAATAGTCAGATTCAGTATAAACTGTTTTACTATTTAATCAAATTCAATTCAATTGATTCTTGTATCGCCCTAAATCACAACAGCAGTTACCTCAGAGGAGTTAACAAAATTGTTGAAATCGCCAACACAGATCAGAGAATCAAATAGTTCAAAAACGAAACATTTAGAACACATACTGTAGGTATTGGTCCATAGGGAGTTGACATCGGTCTGACCGGAGACAAGCAACTGATTGGTGAGTTATCACGATGGAATCTGGATCTACATTATCGACGTATAAACAACAGTATCTTACAAAACACAGATTGCTGAGCCCATAGTGGTGAGTGTGACAAAAGCAGTTACAGAATAAGTAGTGTATGTTTTTACCTGGTGAGCAGCACGGCCACGTCATGGTGCTGCGGGTGCTCGTCTCCCTTCATGTTGACTTTCTTCTGCCACTTACAGAAGCTGCTCAGGCTGGTGTCTGCGTGGTGAGTGACCTTCAGCTCCTCCTGCGCACCACAGGGCTCAGGTCAGCGTACACTTATACCAGGGGTGGGCCATCATATTCTTCGGGGAGACACGTTGGGATATTGCACTATTGTGGAGGGCACCTGTTTTCTTGTGGGTATTTTTTTGTTTTTTTTGTTTTTTGTTTGCACTACTGTTGTAAAACGTCATTAACATCAAAGCCCAACGGACACATCCCATTTCAGCATGTGTGTTTTTGTTCTACAATCAACACAAACAATACAGAGGGAACAGCAAAAGCCATTTTACTTTTTTTTACAATTCTTAAATTGCTTTTGGGGAAATAGCTATGGAGGATTCTGAGGCTAATATTAAACATTGCTATGCTCAAACTGCAGCGACCCAGTAATGGGGAAATGGACAGATGAATAAACTTATTGCATGAATTTAAACAATGTTTTAAATTCAGGTAATGAGGTGGCAAAGTATGAAAGTACTTTTCTTCCTTGTGTATGATGGGTTTGTCAAATGCCTACGTGCATGAGTCACTCTGAGGATAATTGAAGCGTGCACAGAGAAGGCTCAGAGAGAGATGTGTGAGTGACAGGACAGTTCACCTCCTCCTGCTCCAGCAGAATGAGCCGCACCACAACCACTTTGATGGCGTTCCCAATACTGGCATCACTGAACAGGCCTGCCACCTGAAACACACGCTGGCTTAGACTAACACACCTTTTAATAAGACCTGACTGGATTCAGGCAGTTCTGGGCCATTTATGACACAATTAAAAACAAACGTCAGTATATACAGTACAAATACAAAATAAATCTGATGATTGACCACTGTTCGTGTAGAGGATAAAAAGAAGAGGCGAAAGGACATATCCTTGGGGAGAACCAGTGTTGGAAATGGAAGGAGCAGACGTTTTCCATTCACTAAAACATGCTGAACACAATCAGTATGAAAGTTTAAGATCAATAAAAGAAGTTGGTCCGGTAGATTGAAATCAGCAGCTAATCTCTGTATCAGAATATGAGGCTGCATTTTGTTAAAAGCCGATGAAAAGTCTGCAAATAAAAGTCTAACATGGGGCTTCTCCAGGTGTTTATGAACGACATAAAAACAGTTTTGCGTCATTAACTTTTTTTTTGGGTTGACATCAGTGGGGGCGGGTCCCGGCTCAAAAACCTCTTTACAGGATGGTCCAAAAGTTGTCTCTTGGCCCAAAGCTCCGTTCCACATGTGTGCCAATGCAGAGGGGAGTGTTTTGGACCACTCTAGTTTACTCGCTGTGAATTTTTGAACTCACTCGTCTGCATGATTTTCCAGCCCCCGCTGCCATTTTGAATCACTCCAGTGCAGCCCAATTTTTGGCCCATTAGATAGAACGGCGGAGATAGGCGTGACTACGTCCGTTATTACACTGTATACAGTCTATGGTTGATACGCAAATTGCAGTGGATCCAGTTGTACTTATGTTAAGGAGAGGATAAGGAGTTTCATGCTCAAGGATTATCATAACTAGAGAGGTTAAAGCAACTGGTCTGAAATCACTCAAATCCTTTGAGTCCTTGGATTTGGGAAGAGGTATCACTGTGACGTTTTCCACAGTGCTGGGATCTGACAAAGATCAGTACATTTTTGGAATAAAAAACAAAACAGAACACCGCTGAGCTGAGTGGCACAATGGTGCAAAGTGTGACCATCGCATCTGGGCCTTTGGCCTTTCCCACCTTTGTTTATTAAACAGGGCCTCAACGATGTTCTGTGAAACCTCAATTTCATTCAAAGGCTTAATTGACTTCCTGCAATTACAAATGTCATCTGAAACATAATTTCTCTCAAAACAAGTAAAACATTTGTTAGAAGCACAGGGCAAGTTGGTCTATACTAAAACCATGTGTGCACATGGTTTTCATAAACAAATAATCTGTCATCTTTGTTTATAGTGTATTCGTCCACACATCCTCCATTTTGAAATAAATCCACGTCCTCAAAAACCACATGTTTGTGCCACAGAGAGCAGTTAGAGGCTGCAGGAAGTAAAGGTACAGTATTTGTCACAGAGTTCAGTCCGAAGCCCTGTACCACCCGCAGACTATTACCTAGATAGGGTATTGCTGCTTCTGGTATTCAGAATCCATAGATAGACTACTTTTTGGCATTAAGGCAAGAAAGTAAATAATGAAATAATACTTAGCTCATTAGAAACCCCAAAGGTCACATGAGCATGCTCATTAGTATGTCCAAGACACCTACAGCCAAATTAATTATGTGAGATACATTTTAATTTTGCGTGAGGTTAAATTATAAATATGAAGTCAGCTGAAGCGTGACGAGCCTACACGTGCCACAGTATAATGCCAGAGTGCAGTGGGCCCACGAGCCTCTCTGACTCCAGCTGCAACAATAGTCTTGTTTGTCGCAGTTCAAAGTCAAGGACAGAGAGCTCAGAGCGGATGTGGGGCTTCCTCTGCACATGTCCTCTGCTCTTCCTCAAGACACTGCAGCTCTGGTCACAGTCAGTCTGGAGACCGCCCCCTCTGTCCCTAGGCTCCTTTTTCCAAATTATCACACAATGACAAATCCTCAGACCATTGACATATTGCCTCTGTGGTGTGGCTCTATAAATGTGTTTTGGAGGGCCAGACCATGCTTTAGACCGCTGCACTAATTAATGCATATTTTATGCAATGTTAGTAGGTTAGTTAGGCTCAGTTTATACGGAGACAATGCGGCAGTAAAACACTATAGTTGGATGTCGGTTGCTACCCCCCGTTCATACGGAGACTGTGTTCCAGGTGAAAACGTAAGAGTAAAGATCCAGCCTCAGAGTGGGACAGCTCAGATACACTGCTCAGCAGCTCTTTCACACCAACTTAAGGAAAAAGGTGTGAATTCTTTGCCTGATCTGACCCCACCTCCCGCTGCTCCCTGCACGTACATTTGGACATGTGCAGTAGCCGAGAACAAACGTAAACAACAATGGCGGTGGTCACACTAACTAGCTACGTGTGCTTTGCGCGCTACACAGAGGATAATTCTACTCCTTCGTTAGTCCAAACAAAACCACGCGAAGCTCTAGGTTCAGTTTCCATTTTCGCAGCTGCTGTTAAAATGCAGAATGATGTTGGTGCATCTTTCACGTCTTGCAGAGGAAGTGAGTATGCTGCTGGGGGGAGCCTGTGTCGTGTTGAAAAGTTCCTCTGCCCACTACTGGCCGGGCGGAAGAACTACATCGTTTTTGATCCTCGTATGAACGCAGAGAAATTTGCATAAGGAGCCTGGTCGTTTCTGTTAATAGCCTGGTAACGTCTGCGCAGCGCCTCCGTCTAAACTGGGCCTTAGTAAGACGGAGACACTCAAAAACAACCAAAACAACAACACCAAACCAGGATGAAACCAGGATTGACAATGGGGGACACAGCGTAACATGATCGCAGATGAAGTACTAGTTAATATCGTAATACATCCATGGTGCAGCTCCGTGAGCAGATTCTCCTGTAATCTGACGTCTCTGGAGGATCTCAGGGCCCAGACACGCTGCAGAGCTGCACTAGTGGAGGAGAACTTTACACGAAAAGCTTAAACTTGTTAGCATCAAAGCCCTTCCCACAACTTCCGCCCAGCTTTTTTCGTTATCGCAGCACAGTACATCAGATTTATTAAACTCAAGCGGCTAAAATTTGTGCGGAGTCTAAACCTCTGCAGGAGAGAGTTTGGCAGCTTTGGGTGATGAACCTTGTGCTGGATCCACTAAATGATGTCCTTTTAATCCATTTCATTCAATAAGTCATTAAGAGTGCTATCCACTCAGCCAAATGGTGCACACTGGGGTAGTCTTGCACAGTTTTTCCAATGTGGTTTTACTGCAAATGGCAAATAAATGAATCTGAATCTGAGATGTTTTGTGCATTTGGTTTTTTTGATTGTTTTATTTTGGAGTCAGAACATGAGGTGAATGTTTATACTTATACTTATACTAGCTTTGAATCAGAATATATCAAAATGTTGCAGCATTTGATGAGTGGTTTTCCTGGCCTCTGGGTGCAGCAGGTCGGACCATGAACACACACGAACACACACGAACACACAACAGCTCTGTGTGCGTGTTTGTGTGCCCATAATGATCAAACCAAAGACACACATTCAGACCTCTTTCTCTACACGTACCCCTTTTCACACACACACACACTCTCACACACAAAGCAAGAAAGAAAACAGGGCAGGGCCTGGTTAGTGCTGTGATGGGAGACTTCTGGGAACACAGGTGCCACAGTGGCGCGGCTGCGGCTGTAAAGTGCTAAACTGTGGTTGTGTCTTTAGGCAAGACACTTCACCCACATTACAATGAGTCTGGTGTGTGAGTGAATGGTTGGTGGTGGTCAGAGGGGCCGATGGAACATGGTTGCCTCGCCTCTGTCAGTGTGCCACAAGGCAGCTGTGGCTACAGTCGTAGGTCATCACCAGTGTGTGGAGGAATGAATAATGATTGAATGTCGTTGAACAAAGTGTTATAAAAAATCGTCATATAAAACCAATGGCTTTAAAAAAAATATGATTATGTCATGTCAAGATTATTATTACTATTATTACTATTATTTTTAATATGTCATAATTATTATTTCCATTTATCACTATTATTACCGTTATGAGCAGAGATGCGATCAGACCCCGGTCCCCTGGGCGGGCAGAGCGGGCCTGGGGTGTGACCTACCATGTTCATGACGGCCAGCACGTATCCTTCCACTGCGCCGCTGCCGTGGTACTCCACCATCTTGTGATCCGCCACCACCAGAGTCTCCAGCCAGCGCTCCGAGCTGACGGAGCGAGGCCGAATGCGTCGCTTCCTCCGCTGCGTCCGCTCCCTGCGCCGCCTCTGCAGCCGCTCCAGCTGCTCCACCGACTCTGGCACAGAGAGACCCCACAGCACCGTGAGCACAGACTGGGGCTTACATTTGTGGTAGTTACATGTTTTTAACCATTTTACAACATTGTTTCATCATCAATTTTGTCTGTCCCAAAACTTCACATTTCTAAACATAATACAAAATATACCAAACATTAGTGTAAAAATGAACACAAATAACGTAAAATGGCACCACCTGCAAGTAAAATCAAGATACTGTCAGACCTATGAAGCTAAGCATGGCAGGATCTGGTTAGTACTGTGATGGGAAACCTCGGGGAACACCAGGATCACAGTGGGACGGCTACAGCTGTAAACTGCTGTTGTGTCCTAAGGCAAGACACTTCATCCACAATACCCAAAGTGAGCCTGGTGTGTGTGTGAATGGTTGACCGATGGCACATACTCGCTTCTGTCAGTGTGCCCCAGGGCAGCTGGGACTACAGTAGCAGCCTATCACTTCTGTGCATGTGGTGAATGAATAATACAATGTGAAGAGTCTTGGAGTTTCCACAAAAGCCCTGAATAATCATCATTATTATCTTTATTAATATTAATATGGCGTAATCCAGTAATGTCCGCTACTCAAGGCTTCAGTCTCAAAACCTTTTTCACTAAAAACTGAGGTGTTCGAGGTTAATCGAGAAACTGTCAAAATGTCTTGACTGAACAATATAGTCCCTCTAATGTGTTTTCACCACCAGAGGGCAGGAGCAGATCACATGGTGCTTTTGTCATCATAAGGAAAAAAAATCTGATTTACTGTATGGACACAAGAGTCTCCAGTCTTTATGGTCTGTATTATGAACTTAAGGATCTGTAGTGTTTGTAAGCAAGCAAGTCATAACGCACTTTATAATTGTGGAAACCGGAGCACCCGGAGGAAACCTAAACGCAGATACGGGGAGAACATGTAAACTCCACTCAGAAAGGCCCTGTTCCGACCGGGATTCAAACTCAAGACCTTCTTACTGAGAATCACTAGTGCTATCCACTCAGCCAACATGTCTGGTTTTGAGATGCACAAAAGACTATGAGAAGATTTGGACCCATTTTTTAAGAAACATCCAGGGAACAGCTGATCCAATTTTGGAGGTGACCAAACCATCACGTTTGGATGCAGGATAGTTTTTTAATATGGAATGGATGGTGTTTACATGATGACACTTCAGGCTTTTGGTCTCGGAATCAAAATCCGAATTCTTCGTAATATCGTTGTGAGTAACAGGAAGTCACAAACCAGGAAATAGCTTTGGCTCTCGGTGCAAACAAGTTGTAAAAGTAAAAAGAGAGTGAGGCATGCATAAAAATAACATTCCTTGAAATTACTGCTTTATACAAGAGCACTAAGTACACACAATTGACATTTAGCAGCGCCGTAAAGTGACAGTAGCAAAAAAATGACAGTCATAAAGGGCCGGTGACAATGGTGAGGTATGAAGACAAAAGGAAGACTTTTTTTTATTTATCTAACTGCGCCACTTGCCAGAGGTCTGTGCTCTACGAATGCTTTTTCTAGTTTTCACTTGAATAGTGAAATGTTGAATGAAACAGAAGAGAATATAAAGCAAAGGAAGGTTTCTCACCCATCATCTGTACTTCTTAGCAAGCAGACCTGAGATTGTTTACGAGTTAGTATCAGGATTAGGGTGTGGCTAACCACACCCATAGGTTATAAATCTCCAACGCGCGGTCCGAGAATTCATTCCCTGAAGAAGTCCCCAGGTTGAGGACGAAACGTCGGGAAAACTTGCTAAGAAGTACAGATGATGGGTGAGAAACCTTCCTTTGCTTTGACTAATCCCTGTACGACTGAGGGCTTACACAGAAGAGAATATAGTTTGTTTGTTTTGCCGGTGATAGAAAATGTGATGTGGTATACTGTATTACACTGTATATAACACTGCCCTCGTCTCCCAAATGCAGGTCCCGGGAATCCCCTCAGGATTTGACCATTTGTTGATTTTTGTGACTTCCCAGATTTGCCTTTTCCCATTAAACTATGATCGGGACTTTGCACTGTGTCTCATGACAAGTGACTTAAATACAACAGATTTTTGACTATTAAGGGAACATAGCAGGTGAGAGAACATATGGGTGAGAGCTGCACAATTTTGGGGAAATACCACCACTGGGATTTAATTTGATTTGCGATTGAGAGACATTTTTTTAGTTGACAGTAATTCGGACTTAAAATCACATAGACTGGCTTGCTTTTTTCCATTAGCAGATACAACGGCGAAAATAACCTCAAACTAGGAGAAATGCTAGATCAGCCATTCCCAAAGTCAGTAACACCGCTGCCCCCTTAAAAATCTGACGGGTCTGCGCGGCCCCCCGAAATAATAACCAAGAAGACAACGTTAAAAATAGGCTCTTCTCTTTATTTTATTTGGGGGAAATAAGCCTCTGCTACAAACATGATCCTTCTATTTTGACTGTTTCAGAGCTTGAAACACACGGATAGCCACATGTCTATAGGCGACAAGCTCATTTTCAGTTTGTAAAGGAAACAATGCATTCTAAATCATTACGGTATTTGCAAATCTATATAGTCTGTCTGTGGGGGCGGATCGCTCACTCAATCTTATGTTGATATTTATGCATTGGTTTTATAAAGCGCTTTTCTGGACACTCAAAACCACGTCACAGGTCATTCCATACACAGTGGTGAAAAACTGACTGAATCAACAACTATTCATGGGCCTTTCCGATGTTTCTGGTCCTTCCTTGCCGATCCAGGTGGGTCCAAGGACAGTCTTGATCCAGGACACTTAAGGACATTCATGGGAATTGATGCACACAGTCCTCTTTCTACAGCCTGAGTCCTGGATCTATAGCTCGTCTGTTCGTAGTCATTGCTCTCCCTATGAACCAATGGCTCCTACTGTACTGGATGTGTTTGTTATTATTGCATTATCTGTGTTGGAACAGTCTGATTTTGATCTGTTATTGGTGAATCAACAACATTGTAAAGTCCTCTGAGTCGACTGCTGCTGTGACTTAGGGCAATACACAAGTCAAATGAATTGGACACAGCCCCAATTATGGACCATCTCCATCACACACCTCTGAGTCCACAGGCTGCAGAGAAGTCCGTGGCCCCTGGAGCTGTCGCGGGGCCCCGGCTGTCACTGCGTCTGTAGATGGAGTGAGCCTGAGCTGCGGTCACATCCTGGTCAGGCTGCTCCAGGGGCTCGATAAAAAACTCCTCCTCCGATAACTTGAACATCCCGGTCTACAGAGAACACAGAACATGGGGAAAAAGAAAGTTTGGTCATACTATTACAGGACTGAGATCAGAGCTTTAAGGCAGAAGGAGCAGATACCGAGCTAGCCGCGAGGTCAATCTTTGCAAGTAGCTTATAATAATTTTTTTTGGTGGAGGACATAGACTGTAAATATAAACAAACGTAGTTACGTCTATCTCCGCCGTTGAAACTAATGTGCCACCACTTCTGCCGTGTGCGGGCAGTTTCAAAACGGTCGTGGGGACAGGAAAATGTCATTTGAGTGCCTTCAAAAGTCCACAGCGGCTAAACTAGACTGGTCCAAATAAATACACTATCCGTCTCCCCTGCCACCCACTGCCTCCTTGGCCTCCTCCACCTCCTCCGCCTCCCCTGCCTCCCTTGCCTCCCCTGCCACCCACTGCCTCCTCCTCCTCCCCTGCCACCTCCTCCACCTCCTCCGCCTCCCCCTGCCTTCCCTTACCCCCCTCCCCCTGCCCGCACGTCACTGCTCTGGATTGGTACTTCAGAGCAGACTGATATATTCTGACCTCTCTGTGAATACTCAGTGAATACAGGTCAGTTCAGACACAGACTGACCACAGAGCCATTCTTCTTCGGATTCTTCTGCAGACCCCTGAGACCGCCCTCCTGCTGTGTGCACCGCTATTCACAAGAGACATGGGGTTTCTGGGTTCAAGGTTGGCGTGTTGTTTGGACCCCTTTTGTCAACAAAAAAAAAATACATTGAAAACTTTTGAATAGTTCATTTTGCAAAAGCCTCCGACATTTTTTTTGAAAGGCTATCCATTGGCCCTTTACCACATAGAATTTGTGAAAGCCAGATCTATTCTAGTGCCATACTAATAATGTTTCACCCATTCTTGAGCAAATCCTTTCAAAAGTACTGCCAATAGCAAAACAAGTTGAAGATTGTAGCGGAATACAAGTTTTTAGAAAACATTTCAAAACGGACAGATCTGTTTTTTTGCAAATGAACTTGATAAGAATGATCATGAGAGCTTCACCCTCCCGAACACGGCTCCACGGCTCGTTACGCTGTCATTATGCAAAGTATTGTCCCTCCTCTGACTTGTGTATAGTTTTAGAACCTTCTTCTCCTCTGACCCAGATGTAATATTCTGAGGAAAAATAATAAGTGTGCAGTAAGTTTGTTGTTAATGAATAAATAATTAAATAATATATAGCAGTCATAAAACCCTTACTTGATGCTAGATTGGTGACGGGTGATGTCGGGGGGGAGCCCATACCTGCAGGTGAGAGCCAGATCCTGACAGTCTAAGCAGGGCAGGGCCTGGTTAAGACTGTGTGATGGGAGACCTCTGGGAACACCAGGTGCCACAGTGGGGCGGCTGCGTCGCTCTGTGTCCTTCACCCTCATTAGAATGAGTATGGTGTGTGTGTGAATGGTTGGTGATGGTCAGAGGGGGGGATGGCACGTACTGGTTGCTTTGCTTCCATCAGTGTGCCCCAGGGCAGCTGTGGCTACTATAGTAATTTATCACCACTGTGTATGGAATGAAAGAATAATGACATATGAAGTGCCCAAAAAGCACTGTAAAATACTGATGCATTATTATTATTATTATTATTAAAATGTGAAAATGTCCTTGCAACCAGAGAACAAGGGACAGGATTTATACACATTTCTGACTTTGTTCCTATAAATCTAAATGATGCATGTATTATCAACGGTCTGGAACACAGTTTGGTTTTCTACCGTCCAAAGGACCGCTACAGTTGTGTTTGCACTGACCACGCCTCCACCCGGGCCGTGGGGGAAAGCCTCAGGTCAGACACTCACCAGACCCCGGCAGGTGCTGATGGCGGCCCGTCCTTTGAGCCGGTCGCCCTCCCACACCTCTCCCAGGTAGTGGCACCGCGTGGAGGCCGGCGGCTGCAGCGTGGCCCCCCTCAGACCTCCGTACCTCCGCTCGCTCAGGACCCCCGGGGCCAGCAGCGCACGGTTCAGGCTCAGGTTGAAGCGCAGGCTATAGCCACTGTGTACGACCTTCACACGCAAACAGAAAATAAGATCCAGGTTAGGGGCAATGATGCCAGCTTCTCCAGATGAAATGTATATTTTCAATCAAGTTTTTTGTGTACAGTTGTTTTGATGAACCAACAACAGATTATAGAATCAAACAGTTCAAACACAAGAAATGCAATAAGAACAAACACATAGGAGCCGTTGGTCCACAGGGAGCGTGATGACCACTGTTTAGTAAATAAATGTTCTGTCCTTAGACCCTAAGGATCATCCTGTCCTTGACCCTCCTGCATCGGCAAGGAACAAAAAAAGCTGCTTAGAGGCCTACAACGAGAGAGGGATCCGCTCCCACAGACAGACTGTAGAACAAGGACTGAGGGGGCTCCCAGGAGGGGAGGGGGCATACATTTGTGTGCTGAGTAATTATTTTCTATTGGTAAACATGTTTAAAGTAGCAACATGTAAGATTTTCATGTCAAGTCGACATTAAAGGGCCCTAGTCTGTCAAAAGGCATTAATAAAACAAGCTTTTTTATGTCCCGCCCTCCACCGTTTTACCAATCAGAAAGTCTGTGATCCTTGTTGCCAGAACTCACCGCGTTGACCTAGTCTCACGGGTAAAGTACCATGTGGGCGCAGAACTAAAAAAGGTCTCGTTGTGATTCTCAAATCATTAACGACAAAACAAGGAATACAACCAGGATTTCTATCTTTGTGAAAAAGGTGTTGGTTATAGATTTGTTGTTTTAAAAAACTCTTGTCTATTCAGCTGTTATGGTCCCAGCTGGATTTGTCTGCATATCTGGCAACCTGAGTCAGGGAGAGTGGGAGAGGCTGCAGTACCACTTTTGGCCAGATTTTTTTAATGACTGGAATGTTGGTAGTGTGGTGTGATGGCAAGCTGCTTAGCCTCGGGGACGCCAACTCACCCCCCCTGCTGCTCTATTCAATTAACCTGCAGGAAGGAGCCGAGCTTCCCCCCGCACCGACAGACAATGACGCAAATCACTGTCTCACCCTTGTCCCTTTTTGCATCTTGCATCTGTATCGGTCCGTATGTCTGCATCTCTACATCTTGCATGTCTATTGTCTCTCTGTTTGCATCTCCATGGCACGGTCTGATTGTCTCTCCCCGGGAATGGCGCCTCGCCCCCGGATGCCCGTCTCAAACTGTGACCCCCTCCCATCTTTTGTGGGCGTGACTGTCTTTCATGTGTTGTCTATGTAAACAGGAACCTGCTCTGGCCGCGCCAGAGCTTATGTACGCTGCTTTGTGTATGTGAGCTCTCCGCACGTGTGTACAATAAACTTACGCTCCTGATTAAGACAAATACCTTTTGAGCTTTCTCCTTCATTGGGGTATGTAATTCTACGACAATTTGGCGTTGCTGACATGTCTTGGCCTGGATCTTTTCGGCGGGGACGAGCGGCTGCGTTTGGCCGACCTGGAACAACACCAGCCTCTGCTCTATTTGGAGACAAAGGGAGGGCGCGCTCGTCCGGCGCATGAAAGGAATCTTTGGCCACACAAGACCAAAAAGAACCTGATTTGGTGAGTTTTGTCTTTTCATTTGCGTAACAAGCCCAGGGCAGCACTTAAGTGTACACGGGGTTTTGATTTATTTACGTATTTTTGGGGTATTTCATTCATTGCCACAGCATAGACTGTGTGCGGGATTTTTTGGGGTATTTTGTTCTAGATTGAAGCTAGCGGCTGCGTGTTAGTATCGCTCAGTAAGCGACCCTGAAGATTATCTCTAGTGCCTTCAGCCAGGCCCGGTCCATTTCAAGAACGCGCGCTCGTTGGGTATATAGAACCCACGGGGGGGAACGGATCGCTCCAAAGTGAGTAAGAGCAGGGAGAGACTAAACGGGTTAGGTCCATTGTTCTGTACGAGAAAATGGGGAAAAATCAATCTAGAGATGCCACACCGAGGGGAATGTTGACGTCCCCCGTTACAATGGCAATGGAAAAACGGTTCGAATCTAAAGCTATGGAGTGCTTGCCTACATGGTGCAGTTCATTTGGCTTTTCCGATGGAGGCTCTATGTCTCTGAATCAATTACGCATCTTGCGTGATAATTTAGAAGAAGAAAGGAAAAAAAAAATATATACTTGGTTTTAAGAATATCACGGCAAAAGACGTTAGAGAAAGAAATATGTAAAAACAATAGCTCCTCCGCTTTTCACCGAAGCGGAGAACACACAGGCGGACACACACACACACACACATCCCACACCCCCCCCACCCTACCGCCCTCTCTCACCTACTAACCCTTTCACAGAAGGAGCAGAACTCCATGCTAAGTACGCGCCCAAACAAGGCGTTGGGTTTTTTAAAAATGAGCAGACTACTGTTGTTCCCTTTTCCTCTCCCTGTCCAGGTCTGTCGGCGCTTTCCTCCGCGCTCTGTCCTCTGCCTCAAAGCCCCAGCACCAGCCCCACGCCCCAACCACGGCGGCGCTCGCACCAGCTGAGACCCCGCGAGAAGTGGGCCCAAACCCGGGAGCAGAAGAAGAAGCGGCGGAAGCAGATACACGCTCAGGAAACCGCAGAAGAAGAAGCGGCGGAAGCAGGAAACCGAAGCTCACGACTCACTCCGTGGACACATTATGTGAGACACCGACAACTGCTTTGGAGGCCAGAGACAAACTGCTCCAAATCCCGTGTCTGTTGCCCCACGGAGGCGGCAGCGTGAAACACCAAACGCACCCGCTGAAACCCCGTTGAAAGTTGCCCCCGCACCGCAAACAGAAGAAGCCATTGGGACCGGCACGTTTGGGTATTAACCAACCCTCATGGACCACAGGCTAACATTATTTGAACGCTTTGGGCTACCTGGGCCTCCTGCGGACTTTGAGAAACTTCCACAGCCCGGCGGAAAGACTGTGTGCTCGACATGTGTCGAAGGACTGTTACCGGAGGAGGCGTTAAAGGCAGAGGACCGCTCAAGCTCACACGGGGCCAGAGGACGGCAGAGGCGGGCGTGGAGGAAACACGAGCGACTGATCAAACCCGGGTTCACATTCTTCACCAAAGCGACCACTCATGTAAGTTTGAACAAGAACAAATTGCAATTGGCACTTTTTAGAGATAATTCATGCTGAATTCCCGTAATATACGCTAACAATCTGTGGTGTAACAGTTAAAATTCTGTAAAATAAAAAAGAAGGAAAAAAACATTTTAAAGTAACAAGAGCTCATTAAAGATATAGGGGACACCATCTGTGATAAGCCCGAGTACAGACCACGTGGTAAACACTAAAGTTGGAAATGGATCCTTTTAGGAAAAACCTCTTAAAGCTCTGCATGTTCTGCAGGCTCTGAAAGTTGCAACAATAGAAATAGCTCATGAGACAATTGTAATTGGACATGGAAAAATATAACAAAGTTAAAATTACAGGCCTTCTGTGTTGTTTATATGTTTGTGTGTGTTATATGTTTGTGTGTGTTATATGTTTGTGTATGTTATATGTTTGTGCGTCATGTCAAGTACACTACGTTGACCTTAACAAACTCTGGACAAATAGACTAACGTGGGGAGGCGGCCTGTGTGAGTGATGCGAGTGTGATGTGAAATGAGGAGTGCTGAACGGAATCATGGAATAACAAATGTTTCTGTAATGTTTTAATGTGATCATGGAATAATTATTTTTTGTCAACAGCATACGGTGTAAGTACTAGAGATTCAAAGATAACAAGCTTTATTGAACAGGTGTAAAAGTGAGAGTACTCTGGGATGAGTACTCTGAGAAAAGTACTCTGCGGAAAGTACTCTGAGATGAAATACCTTGCTGAAGATATTGGGAGTCCCTCCCTCTGCTGTTTGTCCTGACAGTGATTCGGTCCAACCGCAGTGAGCTGTCGTTGGTTGAAGGACAACTTTGGTTTGTAAACTCACATTTAGGGGAGTATAAAATTAGAAACATACATTTTGTTAAGTCTGTATTTGGCTACAGCCTCTGCCCTGATGTCACACACCGTCTGTCAATGCAGTTATGTTTTGCCCAATTGGAAAAAAGATTGACAAGCGAAAGTGGGCATTTTTTGTGTTTTTTGTGTTCTAATATTTCTTTTTCAGATGAGAGATAAACTACCCCTGCTTCAGGGATGACAGTAGTATGGATCATGAGGAAATGAGCCTCTACTTTGGCACCAAAGCCCACAATATGAATTGAGGACGATCCGGGAGAAAGCAACTGGAGATGAACGGAACAGTAAATCTACACACACACACTAGGTCTCCCTGACCCAACCCGGCCAATTCACTCAGACTGTGGATGAGCGGTGTGGGTGCATGGTGTCGGTACTTTTGCAGTCTCACGGAGGGCCACTGAGACCCACTGCTTACTTCTCAGCAAAACTCGATCCCGTGGCAGCAGGGTTGCCTCGCTGCCTGCGGGCTGTGGCTGCCGCTGAGAAAGCGGTCCTAGCATCACGTGACCTTGTGGGATACACTGAACTAACTTTGCTTGTGCCCCATGCTGTTTCCCTGATCCTGCTAGAGCAGAAAACCTCTCACCTTTCTGCGGCTCGTTGGCTGAAATACAACACGGTGCTCTTTGAACTCCCCAATGTCACGGTGAAAAGATGCACACAGCTGAACCCCTCCTCGCTGCTGCCCACGCCAGAGGAAGGGGAGGCACACTGCTGTATCGCCACAATAGAACAGATATGCACTCCCAGGCCAGACCTGAAAGAGGTGCCTCTGACTAATCCTGACTTGATTTTTTATACAGAAGGATCCGCGTCACGTGACAACACTGGGAAGAACCGAGTCGGCTATGCTGTGTGTTCTGATTTTGATACTATAGACTCTGGTAGTTTGCCCCACCACCATTCAGCACAAACCGCTGAACTGGTCGCGCCCACCGGGGCTGGCAGCGGGCAAAACTGTTAACATATTCTGTGATACGCGTTATGGTTTCTCTGTGGTGCACGACTGGGAAGCACTGTGGAAACACCGCAATTTCATGAAATCTGATGGTAAACCAATTCTTAATTCCACACAGGTTGAACATCTGCTGAAAGCTGTAATGTTGCCCTTAGAGATCGCTGTATGCAAATGCCAGGCCCACACTAATGCCACTGACCCCATCTCTGCAGGGAATCGGCGCGCGGACAAGGCAGCGGCATACTCACCTCTACCCACACACACACACTACCTCACTCAAGACGTTGATATTTTCTCCTCTCTGTCAGCAATGCAGGCACTGGCTACTCCAGCAGAGACGGTGCTGTGGGAGGGAAATGGGGCTCAACGACGGCATGGTGTGTGGCTGGGACCGGACCTCAAACCGTGCTTACCACGGCATTTCTTCAGACATTTTGCAATTTTAGCACATGGTCGAGACCATGCCTCAAAAGGAGGGATGTGTAATTTAATCACACAAAATTGGTATACGAAGGGGTTTACGGCATTTGCACAGAGATTCTGCCAAACATGCGCTATATGCCCCGCGCACAACCCAGGTAAGTCCCAAATTATCCAACAGGCTGCCCATCCTCCGCCCCTGCGCCCATTTCAACATGTCCAAAGGGACTTTGTTGAACTCACACCATGCCAAGGTAAGAAATACTGTCTGGTTCTGGTGGATCTCTGGTCCAAATGGACTGAAGTATTTGCATGCAAACACGCCACGAGCAACGCGGTGGTGAAAGCTCTGCTCACAGAAATTGTGCCACGATGGGGTGTCCCGAGAAAAAAATCTCTAGTGACAATGGCAGTCACTCTGTAGCAAAAGTCATTGAGGAAGTAGGTGAATTTCTGGGCATTGATATACGTAAACACTGCAGTTACGCCCCCTGGAGCGGAGGCGCGTGCGAGCGAGAGAATGGCACTCTGAAAAACAAACTTGTTAAAATCTGCGAACAGACAGACCTGTCTTGGATCAAAGCTCTGCCGCTAGCCCTCATGTACATGCGCATGAGAGTCAGGTCAAGGTCAAACCTAAGCCCATTCGAAATCCTCTTTGCCAGACCGCCCAACTTGGGCGCGGGACCCCCGAACAGAGATCTGCCAAGCACCCCTTTGTGTGATGACGACATGCTGTCCTATTGTAAGGAAATTAATGCACTTTTGCCCTCTATTTCTGCCCAGGTCAGGAGCGCCCTGCCACAGGCTGCGCAGGCGGCTCCGCACAGGATCAAGCCAGGCGACTGGGTCCTGGTGAAGGAAACGAGACGACAGCATTGGCGGTCCAAGCGCTGGCTGGGCCCATTCCTCGTCCTCCTGGTGACGGACACTGCCGTTACCACTGTCGTGCGGTGCTGCCACTGAGGGCCATAGACGAGGACACCGAGGGTGGGGACGGACCAGGCCCATCCGCGGCTCCCTACGCTGAAGAGGTCGGTCGGCGTGCGACCACCGTCGGTGAAGCAGGCCAACAACAACACCCAGAGAATCCCAGCGTTCCCGAGGCGACCCCCCTTTGCCCAACTCCCCTGCCTCCGAATCCCGAGACGACCCCCTGTGGGGCACTAATGTACCCGATGACCACAAATTATGGACCACAGGCCAGAAAATAATGTTAGCATTATTCCCCAGCCTGGGTGTAGGTAAACTAATGCTAAGGACGGAGACCCTGAGCTATAGGTTCTCAGGTTTTGTCAATACCACAGTGGCCATACTTGAATCACAGAGAGTTGAACTTCACGACCTACGTGCCGTTGTTCTTCAGGACCGGTTGGTCCTGGACCACCTGACCGCGTCTGTGGGAGGCGTATGCACGATCATTGGGTCGTCCTGCTGTACATATATTCCGGCTAATGATGAGGACGGAGGTCTTATCCAACAGGGCATAGCCAATCTGACTAGACTCCGGGACGCCATGCAAGCGGACAATGTCACGGACACTCCTCACGGTCTGGACTGGCTCCTGTCCTCCTGGCGGAGTGTGCTCATTAATCTTGGTTTAGCCCTATTGACTGTTATGATTTTATTTTCATGTGTATTACCTATGGTGTTTCGGGCCGTTGGTAAAATGATATCCACTCACTTTGTGTCCATTCAATACAAAGACCCCGAGGCGGACCTGGCCGCTGTCCCACTGAACTCCGATCCTGATTATATCAGCGATTCGGACGACGACTTTGTCTAACGTTTTTCTTTCTTGTTTACCTTGTTTTTATTTTTCCACTTGTTCCGCCTACAATTTAGGGGGAGGGTATCACAGTGAAGAGCTTTGACCACACCCTCGTAATACAAGAGGCTTGGGTGACGGCAGCCTAGCCTGTCCATCAACAACTCTTGTTTTGCTCAGGGACCAAGGTCAACACTCACCCACCTGAATGTGATCTCTGTAAAACTGGGGTTTCTACATTATCACGGGAGAGGAGTGTGATGGCAAGCTGCTTAGCCTCAGGGACGCCAACTCACCCCCCCTGCTGCTCTATTCAATTAACCTGCAGGAAGGAGCCGAGCTTCCCCCCGCACCGACAGACAATGACGCAAATCACTGTCTCACCCTTGTCCCTTTTTGCATCTTGCATCTGTATCGGTCCGTATGTCTGCATCTCTACATCCTGCATGTCTATTGTCTCTCTGTTTGCATCTCCATGGCACGGTCTGATTGTCTCTCCCCGGGAATGGCGCCTCGCCCCCGGATGCCCGTCTCAAACTGTGACCCCCTCCCATCTTTTGTGGGCGTGACTGTCTTTCATGTGTTGTCTATGTAAACAGGAACCTGCTCTGGCCGCGCCAGAGCTGATGTACGCTGCTTTGTGTATGTGAGCTCTCCGCACGTGTGTACAATAAACTTACGCTCCTGATTAAGACAAATACCTTTTGAGCTTTCTCCTTCATTGGGGTATGTAATTCTACGACAGTGGCAATAATCAAAAGTTTGGGATTTTTTAAGATACAACTTCCCTTTATTAGAGACCTCAGAATCCAAACTCATCCCTGCTATTGGAAACCCATGACCACAGCTGAGGTTCTGAATGCAGACGCTGCTCCCTCTTCATCACAACAGTCCGATACAGCTCTGACTGCAGACGCTACTCCCACTTCACCACAACAGTCCGATACAGCTCTGACTGCAGACGCTGCTCCCTCTTCACCACAACAGTCTGATACAGCTCTGAATGCAGACGCTGCTCCCTCTTCACCACAACAGTCTGATACAGCTCTGAATGCAGATGCTGCTCCCTCTTCACCACAACAGTCTGATACAGCTCTGACTGCAGACGCTGCTCCCTCTTCACCACAACAGTCCGATACAGCTCTGACTGCAGACGCTGCTCCCTCTTCACCACAACAGTCCGATGTTTTATAATATGATGAGAGCAGCATGTTGTGATCTGATTGGTTCACAACTTGTTACTTTTACAAATGATTACATTTAGGGAAAAAATTTAGATACTCCAGCTTAAAAAAAAAAATCTATCATCGAGACACCCCCATTACGCCTGTGGCCTCACCCCGTAGAAGAGAGACTCTGGGCCCTGGGAGTCCTCCTCTGTGGGGTCCTCCGCTGTGGCCCTCCGGTGCATTCTGGGAGCGCGGTGGGGCAGGACGTGGGACAGGAAGTGGCCTTTGGCGTCCACTCGGCTGGGGTAGACCACTTCATAGTGACGGGAGGACACTGGGAACAAAACAAAGTGCAGCTGTGAAGGTTAAACTTCTGAGAAATGACACTACACACATGAGCCACACAGAACCAAAGAGGAATCCTTCAAATCAGAAAAGTTAAATCATAAATAATCTAAAAGAAGAACATGCATGATCCTTCAGTGGGGTGCACGGATAAACGTAACTGCTTTATCTCTGAGAAGCCCGGCTCACGTTTTCAGGAGGACTGTATTCGAAGAGTCGTTTCTCATGTTTCTCAAGTCCCCAAGAAAAGCTCCCTGTGAGAATTTGCATTGAGGTCAAAAGTGTCTAAAATGCTGCCGGACAAGTGCATTTGTTTTACTGGTGAGGACGGCTGCATAAACTTTTTCCTCTTTATTATTATTATTTTCAAGATAGACATTTTATACTTGTTTTTTTTATGCTAGAGTTAGAGATTGTGTTTTGTTTTATTGAGTATAGCTGTGGGACGAATAAAGGATCTCTTAATCTTAAAGTAGCAATATGTAAGTTTCAAGTCCAGTGATAATTAAATGGCCCTAATCTGTTAAAAGCCATTAATGAACTGCTCTTTTGCAATACTTCTTTAACTGATAACAGAAGTTCAGAGATTAGTTTTACAGCCCTTAAATCTAGTTATTGTTTTCATTTCGATGTCCCGCCCTCAACCGTTTGACCAATCAGAAAGTCTGTGATCCGGGTTGCCAGAACTCGAGCAAATCTCACTGGTAAAGTACCATGTGGTAGAACTAAAAATTCTCAAATCATTAACGACAAAACAACGAATAAAACCAGGATTTCTATCTTTGTGAAAAAGGTGTTGGTTATAGATTTGTTGTTGCAAAAACTCTTGTTCAGCTATTATTAGCCTGGTCGTACCACACCATAGTACAAATGACATTTCGTCCTAAGGTCTGGAGGCGCTCCATTGAGCTCCGTTAACAGGTGGGAGGGGTTAACTCCTTTTGCAGATTGAAACGATTGGATCTGAGTTTACCGTGACGTATGTAGTGCCTCTGAGTCTGTTGTTAGCTTTTAGCATTTAGCCTAGCCATCTCCTTTGCCGCTAACGGAGCCCGTGGGAGTAGCGCCACAATTTATTCTAGCAATTACATTTGCAAAACAATCCTATTGCTCCGGCTTCAATGTCTTGATAGCACCAGACCGGATTACTTTACTATTGCATTTTTCGCCATTGCCAAACTACAACCTTCCCGTTCGACGCAAACTCTTGACATCACCCACAAATAAATACAACACTCTCCTTCCGCGCTCGCTGGTAGGTCGGTCGAAATTCAACCGATTGTAATTGCTAACTGGGGACTAGACTAGACCCAACGTTACATGCGGTGAAATGATGATTGAGCGGAGTGTACGGATGGCTAAGGCCAGGCTAAGCTATAATGGTCCCAGCTGGATTCGTCTGCATATCTGGCAACCTGAGTCAGGGAGAGTGGGAGAGGCTGCAGTACCACTTTTGGACAGACTTTTACATACTGCTCTTTTAAACACTTAAATAATGATTGAGTTTGAGAATACTAATCGGGAAAGAGTTGGAGCTGCATAATACCCATGATCCCTCTATAGAGCGGTCCGTTGCCTCGTGTACCGAAGGCATTGTGTGAAAAATGCTGCATATTAAAGTAGTACTAGAATTAAATATGCTGCTATCCAAAATATATAACTACAATATGTGTTTATAATATTTCGGGTGTTCATTTTGACATGTTCAGATGAATTATGTTAAAAAACGGCTTTAAAGTCGCACCTTTTCACAAACGCTAGGGGGCGCCAAAATAGCGGCGATGATGTAGGAGAATGACCTCTCACAGCAGCAGACAGCAGTCTGGTTGGAAACTGTAGGAGGTTTCACTGTCATCTGAACAAGGTATAAACATATTTTCATCCGTTTCAGATTCAGATACAGATTCAGTTTATTTGCCATTTGCAGTAAAAAAAAACACATTGGAATACATTAGCAAAAGTCACCAGTGTGCACAGACAAATACAGACATAAAACAACATTAAAAGTACGGAAATAAAACAAATAAAACAGTAAACAAATGTCACTGTGAAATCGATCGACTAAAACAGTTCAAAACAAGTGCAAATCATTAAAGTGCTCTGTTCACACTGATAACAGCTTGTGGATAAAAACTGTTAGCGTAACGAGATGTCCTGCTTCTCAGAGAACGATATCTTCTGCCAGAGGGAAGAAGCTGGAACATGGCTTTTCCAGGGTGGACAGAAGAGTCATTTATAATTCTTAGAGCTTGGAGAGAGAGTTTTGTACATAATAGTGTGCAACTCTTTTAACCTTTTAGCCTTATTTGTGATATTCAAGCTAATTAGTGTTGGGCAAGTTAGCTAACTCTACTTGATATCATAAAACATGCTAACAAGGCTAATATTCGTTTTCACATTATGCCAGTCTCACTTTGGTTGCCTTAGATTTATTTACCACAATGTACATTGTAATATCCGTAAATGCTAACACCTATTAACGGTTTAATTAGCATTTTTATCCATGATTGCATCACATGTAGTCTATGTTTTCAACTTCTGCAGCTTTTTGTTCATAAAAGTAAAATGTTTATTTAATTCAAGTTATTTTGATTAGCATTTTTGGATATTACAATGTACATTGTGGTAAATAAATCTAAGGTAACCAAAGTGAGACTGGCATAATGTAAAAACGAATATTAGCCTTGTTAGAATGTTTTATGATATCAAGTAGAGTTAGCTAACTTGCCCAACACTACTTTGCTTGAATCTCACAAATGAGGCTAAAAGGTTAAAAGAATTGCACACTATTATGTACAAAACGGATGAAAATATGTTTATACCTTGTTCAGATGACAGTGAAACCTCCTACAGATTCCAGCTAAGACTGCTGCTGCTGCTGTCAGAGGTCCTTCTCCTACGTCATCGCCGCCATTTTGCCCCCCCTCTAGCGTTTCTATGCGGAAGTGAAAAGGTGCCACTTCAAAGCCGTTTTTTTAACATAATTCATCTGAACATGTCAAAATGAACACCCGAAATATTATAAACACATATTGCAGTTATATATTCTGGATAGCAGCATAATAAATTCTAGTACTACTTTAAGTAAGGAACAAACAACTAGCAGCCGTGTAGGTCCAGGATTTGTTTAATCCACTTATTCCATGGACACACACGGAATAAAAAAAATGGTAAGATATACAGTCGTGTTTGAAAGTTTTCACACGTAGGAGGAAAAGTCAATCAGTTTCTTTCACTCATCTTTAGTGGTAGCCTGGTCTTACCCAGAGAAGAGCAGGAGGAGAACAGGAGGAGACCCAGAGCAGACCAGGAGTAGAACAGGAGACCAGGAGGAGACCCAGAGCAGACCCAGAGGAGACCATGAGGAGACCAGGAGTAGACCAGGAGGAGACCCAGAGCAGTCCATGAGGAGAATAGGAGACCCAGAGCAGACCCAGACTCAGAGCAGCCCATGAGGCCACCCGGAGGAGACCCAGAGGAGACCCAGAGCAGACCATGAGGCGACCAGGAAGAACCAGGAGGAGACCCAGAGCAGACCATGAGGAGACCAGAAGGAGACCGAGAGCAGACCAGGAGAAGAGGAAACCCAGAGCAGACCCAACCCAGATCCAGAGCAGACCAGGAGGATACCCCAGAATGAGTGAGGGCTGCTGTGACGGACACGCTCAGTCAGGCCTCCCCTCACACCGTGGAGCCCAAAGCCAAACTGAGGCTGCTCTAGTGATGCGTTAAGAGAAGAGGAGAATAAAACCTGGGAACTCGCCGGACTATGTGTGCGGTCAGACAAAATTCACAGATGAATTTGCACTGGCCATGGTAGAAACACATCATAAAATATCATACATGAGCAAAGTTCTTCAGCGTCCAGGGAGAAAGTAATGTTCCATGTTCTGAATGTTCCTTAATTTTGTTTGCAAAGGCATTGGATGAAGCAAAAATATGACATTAATCCATATCCTCTAAAAAGAAAGTATTTGGATTAGGCTACTCAATCTCTGCTTTTGTTTTTGATTTTTACAGTGTATAGAACTATATCAAAAATGACTTGAATTGTCTAATAATAATGCATTGGTTTTATATAGCGCTGTTTTGGACTCTCAAAGACGCTTCAATCATTATTCATTCACTTCATACACATTGATTATACGCCACAGCTGCCCTGGGGCACACTGACAGAAGCGAAGCAACCAGTATGTACCATCGGCCCCTCTGACCACCACCAACCATTCACACACACACCAGACTCATTCTAGACAATATGGGTGAAGTGTCTTGCCTAAGGACACAACAAAGGGTTTGGCAATAAAGGAAACTCTTTTGGAGACAACTCTATCTTCAACGTTTGAGCCGTGACCTGGAGACAGTTGTGATTCCTGATGCACAACAAGCAGTGAGTGCGACTGCTTTTGTTTTCCCTAACGCCTGCTGTACCTTACATCTCCAACGCAGCAGAAAGGCTTGTGCACCGGTCGTGTAGGGTGATACGGATCTCATTTCAGATACGTGCCCGTGGTAGAAGCCTGGAGCAACATCAGCACTCTGCCGCTCGTCAGCCCAAAGTATGACTCACACAGATATGTCCTGCGCAGTGACGCGGCCTTCAGTCATTACACATACTCTTTTTAATTGTGTTTCAATGCTATTTGAATGAATATAAAATATCAATATATAGAATATGTATATACACCCACACACATATGGACACAGCCCAAATCCAGTCAAAACTTAGCAATTCAATGTTTACGGCCCCTGGACATGTCTGGTGAAATGAAGGGGCCCTCTTAACATAGATTGAAAGTAATGAAATGTGATTTTAATTATAAAGTCAATAAAGTAAGCCCTTATCTGGTGTTCACGGCAGAGAGGCTTCCATTGCAGGCCCACAGCAGCAGATAGGGGACAGAGGTGATGAATGAGCTGAAGTCTCCAGCCCTGAGTATGAATGTGACATGTATGGAGTGTGATGCATTTCATTGTGCTGATATCAGT